CCAAATCAATGGCCATTTCCAATTCATCATATTTCTTTATTTATGGCATTTGGCTTCGAAAAAGGCCATTCACCAAACATAATTGCTACCTATATTGCAGGGATAAACTATTTTCATAAAATTAGCGGATTTTACGATATTATCAATATCCTTGTAATTCAGAAACTGTGAGAAGGGTGTAAAAGAGGTCGTCCTTGTCGTGATATCCGGGCTCCACTAACAATGCAGACCTTAATTTCCGTATATAATACTCTACCAGGAGTATGTTATAACAACTATGAGTGCAAACTATTTTCAGCTCTTTTTGTTTTGGCTTACTTCGGACTTTTTCGTGTAAGCGAATTGGTGAGCTCACTCAGTGACGACATGCTTAGCCTTTCGGATTTATCTTTTGTCGATAAAAAAAATATATCATCATTCAGTTACGTCGATACAAGACAAATCAGGGGGGTATCTCAACATATTTGAAGATTCCTTGTGAGCACGGAATATTGTGCCCGGTCCGGTCCATGTCTGAATATTTAAGTTTAAGGCCTCGTTCACCAGGTCCTCTTTTCTGTCATAGCAATTTAACACCGGTTACTAGATCTCAATTTTCGGCAGTTTTGTCTAAAATGTATTAGCAAGACAGTTTGTACGGATTTATGTTTTAAGTCACATAGTTTTCGGATTGAAGGGCTACTGATTTAGCATCTCAAGGTTACAGCTCGTCAGTTATCATGAAATTGGGTAGATGGAAATCTGGTGCTTATAGATTATATATTCGCCAGTAGGTCCCCTGTAAATCAATTTTTCGGTTCGAAATAACTTTCGTTTCATAATTAAGTTTAAATGCATTTACATTTAGATGTGTGGGTTTTGGGAGATTCAATCCCGTTTTGGGCTGGAAAGAGAGCACAAGATACTGGCAAGGAGAATCTGCGGTTGAGGTGCAACATTGCTTGGTGGGGTGAACGAGGCCTGCGTTGGACTCATTTCCGGAGGTCAGTTGAAGCTCAAGTTCTATTATCGACACCTCCATCAGTTATTATTATCAACTTAGGCGGAAATGATCTTGTGAGCTTACCCCTTGTTACTTTAAAAGAATTAATCAAATCAGAGATAAACTACCTTCGTGAAGCTTTACCTGATGCTATTATTATATGGTTTGACATTATTCAAAGGCAATCTTGGTCGGGTGCAACTTCTGGGTGGGTTGCCATGGAGAAAAAACGTAAGCGTATAAATGGAATTGGCCGTTATTTTGTCGGTTCATCTGGTAAAAGTGACGTAATTAAAACTGATATTGACGCTAAAACTGGTTTTTTCCGACCGGATGGAGTTCATTTAAATGACGTTGGCCTTGAATTTTATCTTGATTACCTCAGGGATGCTTTAATTAGAAATAATATCTTGTGTCGATAGAAGTTTGGGGGATAAATTTTCTAAAATTTATTTGTGGCCTGAAAATTCTATCGACTGTTGGGCAGGCAGGCGTGCTCGTCTTAATGGGGGAGGTTGGTTTGATTCACGCGTCATGTTTATTCCAGACGGTGAATCAGATCTTCAAGTCGGGATCATTTACGGTAATCTTGGACCGATTGTGATGGCCTAATTGGTGGACAACTGTATGATATTTTTTGTTCGTTGCTATACTTTAAGCGTATTAAACAATGGTGCATGTACCACGCCTGCTTGCCCTTTGGTCGAACACAATTCTTAGCGGCCAAAATTATTCCATAATATTTTAATAGAATCATTTTTTTATCAAATTTGGAGTAAGGTATTGAAAGCTCAATCGTTATACATGTATATGATATTGCTATACATATGTATGAAATAAATACAATTGAAGTATAATTGCACAGTTAGTTATTTTATTTTATTTCGAGTATTTGGATAATGATGATATTTCAGCTGTCAATTTATTATTTGAATTAAATCAATCCCTGTTTCAAACTATCACGACTCTTTTCGTATGATTTAACATTTTCATTTTATGCTTTTCAGTGGATTACTGACTTATCCGTGAAAATTATATTTGATAATTTCACAGTGAAAATTGTAAAAATATAACACTTTTTAATGACGAAACTTCTTTTTAAAGATTTTCCCCATGTGGTACCTCAATTTTATTTTTGCTGACAATTCTGACAATGTCCGGCTGTTTAAAGAAAAAGCAAAGCTGAAATTGATAAATAACTTAAATGTCCTAGTAATAAAAAGAAGAATATGATAAACAAGATCAACAAGGAAAGGCGGCGTTCAATGAACGCAGCCCCCATATGACCCAGCAACAAGAACTAGTGGCAAGGAGCCCAGGCGGACCCAAAACAAACACAGGACAGGGCACAATACAGAGCACGGACAGGTTAATCACTAAATAATAAATAATTTGTAATTGATTAGGAATTCAAAGACAACAAATGAATGATTGAATAAAAGGCCCACAAACTCACTTATATTCATTCAAATTCCAATCACCGAATTTTGTTTCTAAATTTTTTTGTTTCATTTTTACAGTCTGAAAAATACATTCCTTCCACATGCAAAACTGCTCTTGATGACATTTGGGTATATTAGGGTATCCTTCGAGCAATGACTGCCGTATGCTTTATGAAAAATTGAAAAGCAATGACAGCCATCAGCCGAAGAATAAGTAAACAACCCAGCGTCCCTGAGCCAGCTTCCAAGTTTTCCATTTGCCTAGCTGCTTTATGAATGTTTTCACATCTGTCAACACTTATTTTTTGTCTGTTACAATCCTCATATAAGTTTTCTCTCTTTTAAAAAGGTGTATGACTAATAAATCCAAATGATATCCCTCTGAATCAAACAAAATTATTTTCCTCCCGTGAAATACACAACTTCAAAAAATGGCTAATATAAATTCGCAGTAAGTAACAGAAATATGGATGGATGGTTGAACTTTCTCTCCTACAAGAATTGTTTGTTTTTATTATTAAAACAAGCGATCATTCATATTTTTTTAATAAAATGAATAATATCACCGTCATTTAACGTTGATTGTCGAACTTATTTTTCAGCTCAAGACTTCTTGTATTTAATGAGAAATTCTGACTAAATGGGGCCCTCAATGGGGAAAACAGATTTTAATGTTAACGTTAATATTGTGGAAATTTCGTTTTGACTTGTTTTTAAGCATAAAATAAAAAAAATGTTTGTTGTGTAAGATGTAATTTCAGTATTCTCACTCGTGGCTACGCCATTCGTGAGAATACTGTTTTTAAAGCCCACTCGATGAAATAAAATTTCATCTTACACACAAACAAACAAATATCCTCTATTTAATGATGATGATGATGGATAATCACTACTAAAAAGATGTTGTTATTACACCTATAACAATCACATCACTTTTAATGATGCAATTCACATATGAAATATCTTCAAGTTTTATAAACATGAAAGTTAACATCAAAGAAAAAAGACAATTTAGTGTGGTGACAGATTATGTTGTGTGTCTATTGTTCTAACAAGGACGTACTTAAAATATATTTAATATCTTGACTGAGCTTTTAATGATTTTCTGTCAATAATATATGAACAACTGTCAATAATACATGTACAATCCCCGTACCCTGTGTTCTACATTTTAGCACAATGTCAAACTCATTTAAATTCATTGAGTACATGTATTTTCGTTGCGTATCGAGATTTATAGGTTTATCTTTTACTTCAGATTACAATATTAAATATAAAATCAATAAGATAACGCTGAAGACAAAAGTATTTGGTTTTGAGGTAAAAACATTTATGTCATCTCGAAAAATAAAGGATGTAAAATGTCATCATTTTACCCAATAACTATAGAACAACTCGAATGTATAATTATCGTTTTTTTATACCAATACCAACAATAGTTAGCACCTTCCTCATACATATATGTAGTAAATGTTAACCATTTATTTAACCGTTGTTTCTGTTACAATATGCAGTCAATATTTTACAAAAGCTATGTCTTTAAATCCAAGTTTATACCTTAAGTTTATATTTGTAAACTGTTAAAGGATCAAATTAAATGACTCCTGTTTTGTTTGCCGAGTATTACAATATTATGACAAATGGGCATTCCTTTAAACAAATGTTATCGTTATGAATTTTGTATTTATAGATAATATCTGTTTGTTTTGAATGAACAATTTATACATCACACTGAGAACAAAAATTTAGAATTTGATGTGTGATCAAACAAATTATTTTCTTTTGATTTTATGACTAAGAAGTAAAAAGTCCAACACTTTTCTTGTTTTTTTTTCATTGAAGCGCGGGAAACAGTGGCGAGTTAAGATGACGGATGCCGTTAAACTGTTAGTCAGACACTGCGAACACAATTTATTTTAACTTATAGCCATGTTTTTAAATAATTTATTTGAAAGACACTGTTTATAGTAATAACTGCTAACCCCTAAAGTGAAGTGATTATAATAAATAATTATATGAATACAAAAACGTAACACTAGAAAACAATAACAAAACAAGTAAGTAATATGTTATTTTACATATTAATACAATCATGCACGCAAAGCAACTATTGACACAACATTATTACTTACAGATATAGCGATATACTGTGATATATTTTCTATTTCAAAAGTAAAGGTCAGTATTGTAATGGTTATCATTAAATAGAAAATGTTTATCTTTTGGTATATCAATCTATAAAATCAATACCACACTCAAAGCCTATAAGTAAAAGTCCTTTTCCTATCATATTAAAGGTTAGATGTTTTTAAAATCCTTCACACCGGAATTTTATCTCCTCATAGTTTTATCATCTGACATTTTTTTTTCATACGAGTCCGTAGGAGAATATCGTTTGTAGGATAAACGTTTTTTTTATTTAGTGACCAAAATGTTTTCTTAACGTTTTGTTAACAATGGATTAAAAGATAGTTCAAGTCTTACTGTACTGAGGGGAAAAAAACACAAGATAGCTGAAAAATGTGGGTTTTTTATTAGTTCAGTTGTCAATATATTGTGACTTTTGTTAAGTTAAGATGGGAAGAAAAGGCAAGAAAATGGAAAAACAAAAACCTACTACCACAGATACAATTCAAGGAAACAGGGATGTTTTTTCTTCATTTTGTGACGAGCACAATTATGCTATAGAAATGTTTTGTGTGGATTGTGACAAAGTGATCTGTGTTATTTGCTATAACACACAGCACAAAAGTGGCAATCATCAGATACTGACAATTAAAAAAGCAGCTACTAATTGCGCTAAAACTAAGGAGTTTGCTGAGTATGAAAACAATCTTTCTACCATTTCCACACAAGTGCATAAAACATTAAAACATAATGATTTTTTAAAAACATTAACGGAAATACTGAAAAGAAAAGTAGAATCTTCGATTAAGAAACAGAAACAATACCTGATCGATCTGATAGAGACACATAACCGGGAATTAAATGAGAGGAATCAGCATAAGTACGAAAACGCCAAGACAGGGTTACTTACATTGAATGAGCAATTGAGTATGAAGGAAAGAGAAACTTTAGAAATTTGCCAGGAAATCAATGAAAAAAAGGAAAGTGGACAAAACGTTGCGTTGTTTATAGCTATGAAAAAATCGCAAGATAATTTAGAGCAAATTGAAAACCAGCTAGAAAAAAAAATTATATTGAAAGGTAACTATATGCGATATATCTATAGAAACTTCTACATTCATACTTAAATACGTGTACTCTCCCGTCTCTTTATAACGCAACTGGTTTATTTTTATATACCGCCCACGCTTTTTTACGCGGAATTTTCTAAGTGAAATATATATACCTTTACATACTCTGTATTGATATGATATATCAAATATTATTAATTCTGTTGGTAGGTATGAGTTTCAAGCAGGGCACATGGTGGGTCAGCTTTTGGAGGAGGAGAAAGAATTTGGTGATTTGTTAGTAACGGCGACAACGTCTCCCAAAGGTATTGGAATCTATGTGAATAGTTAATTCCAAAATAAATGAAATCCGACAATATTCCGTCTGTATAGATTAGCAGAAACATTAATTTTTCACCCTTCTTAGATAACAGAAAAAAATAGTTTATCCTGCGGAAAGGTTGACGGCTGATCCAGATTGTTTCATGAAAAATAATATTACTGTTGATACGATCTCCCGTTTAAGCAAGGAATAAGGGTAAATTCAAAATTAATGTTTTAGGTCTTTGATTTTATCATTTATTTACTAAAATATATTAGACATTGTGCACAAATCGACAAGTGGTGTACGTCTGTACTCAAAGTTTTCGTACACAATAGCGGAAACATAAACAAAATTATTCAGTTGTATATGTAACATACTCAAAGTCGTGGTTATGATGCTTTTGCCTAATAGAAAAAATTGTTGTTGATTAATTTACAGGAAAAATGGCACGGGTAAAAGAAATAGTGACGATTACAAAACTTTTTTTTAACCGAAACAAATCCATCACATTTAGTGCTTTGATTAATCCATCTTTAGGTTAACTTTCTTGTAAATGAAATTTACCATGATTATTTGGAATAAATTAAGACATTTCACATGTTATCATTTACAAGTTCTGCTTTAAAAAGTGTAAACACGATATATTAAAAATATGTAGTGATAATTTATAAGTTGTTTTCAGTGTACAGTCGAAACTGTACTAACGGTCACCTCTTATCGGCGGTCACCTGACCTTAACGGCCATATTGTGACGCTCCCGACGAAAACCACTCTATTTTATACATCTGTTCAACGGTCACCTGCAGTCCGCGGTCAACGGTCACCTAAAATGCTTCCCGAATCTTAAAGTCGGTCATCTTAAGCGGTCAGCCAGGTGAAACGGCCAGTCAATCATCTGCGGTCAGCCAGGTGAAACGGCCAGGCAATCTTCTGTCATTTATTTTCAAAGATGACACGTGTCTCGGATTAACAAAAGCTACTTGTAAGGTGCTAGATATTAACACAAACCACAATATTTCAAGAAGTTTGCATAATTGCTCATCCGTTTCGTAATAACAAACGTTTGGAACGTCTCAATGCACTTGCAATTCGTTCTTTTGAGTTACTGTACGCTAGTTTTTTATTTTTCAATTTACTGATTTAAAGAAAAAAAGAAAGAAGCAAAAAATGCATTGTCGATGGCAGAAAGAAATTTCAGTTAATCCCGATTCAGATAAATTTTGTGCGTACATGGTACGTACTTACCAAAGAAATAAAAATGAATTACATCGCCGATTGTCTAAATTCCTCAGTAACAAATTCATAAAAACACTTGCTCCATGTGTGAAAATAAACTTGCATGAATATAATGAGGTCACTGTTAAATCACACCCATTAAGTTTACACACTAGATGACCTCTAAGAGGTAACTAGCGGTCTCTTCAAAGGAATCTTTGATGTTTACAAACCTGTAGCCCTGCTGTTTCAATCCGAAACATCAAAGGAAGTGCCGACACTTAGATGACGTGTACACAATATTCTATTGATCAAAAGTTAGAAAAAGAAACTGTCATACTTTTTTTGTGAAAAAAATATTACGCATTTTAAATTATTGTGCAAGAAGATATTTTTATGGGATAAATAGTTTCAATTATTGACATAATAAATCGTGAGTGCATTTGTTTATCTGTGTTACATTCATGTAAAGCTTTATATGTTGGAAGGATTGTGTACTTGTTAAACCATTAAAAGCATACGTTTGTAAATGGTTAAAAACTGATCATGATGATGATGATGAATCAGACTGGTTTATTTATACTTAAATCAGATTTATTTTACAAAGAAATGAATAATTTATTTGGCTAAAAACTGGATCCTCCATTCAGCAGCCACCTGTCTTAAGCAGCCAAAATGACTGCATCCATTGGCTGGCTGCTTAAGACAGTTTCGACTGTATATGGTAATTATAAGAAAAAGGATAATAAATTTGTATTTGTTGGTTAATGAATGAATGAATGCCATATCATTTAGCATATTTCTTAAAGTTAACCTGTATTCCAATATTTATGACAGATGACGTGACACAGAATTTTGACGTTCCACCTAGTGACTTACAACCTCGTGGTGATTTTGTGCTACCTCGTCGGGGTTGTTCAAGAGAACAAGAAGAAGTGGCAGATGAAGATCAATTTGGTCGTAACGGTAGGTTCGCAAGTTATTAGGACTTGTTAAATTAATGTGTAAAAAAATAGGATTGCGCACACTCCAAAGCTAGCTGCCAGGTATGTAAGAATGTTGTTTTATTATTATCATGTACATCTTTAGTACATGTCCGTATATATGAGAGTCACGAAATTCTTAAGCCGACACCGTTTCAAATTATGAGTTCAATATCTGTTATCCACAATAATGTATGTCGCATTTATAAAGGATAAATTACTATTGTATAATCGTTGCAATATATAATAATAATGTTTACGCCTATTTATTAAATTGATAAAAACATGAAAGTGAACAGAAAGTAAATACTATTTTGAGCGTATTAAAGAGGAAAACGTTCCATTTTTGTCAATAATCGTAAAATTGTTTGCCTTTCATTTAAGAAATTTATCAATGTTGACTGGCATCCATCCTTATAGACTTTCTTTAACAATGATTGAAACTGCAAGTATGTTTCGAACAAAAACATGTGCCAAGTAAAGATATTTCTCAAAATACATATTATAATACCTCCAAAACAGACAAAAAATGAAAACCTATGTAGGCTCGAGTTTGAGTTGATTGAGTCATAGACGGTAGTGGTAAGTGCAGGCTCAAACAAGAGAGAGCCAAATTAAAAAAAAAGACAAAAAAGAAACAAAAATGTTGTCATTATACAAGCTCAAATCAGTCAACTAGTTCATATGAACTTTTATGACCTCTTGTTAATTCTTATCAATTATGTGATGTCGTTTGACTTCCCCCCAAACCGTTGATATGTTTACTGGAACATTAAATGTATTATCTTTAAACAGTCCTCTGCAAAAGCCGTAAAAATTGGTTGGGTCTGGTTAAAATATCATGGAAGCTTAACCCTTTCAACAACATAAAATAATCTTAAAAATACAATTGTTATTATGTTTCAGTTAAATGCATGAAACTTGTAAAATTGTGTTTTAATTAAAGAGCGCTTGGGACATGTTGTTATTATAGTAAGAACTCAACAAGAATCTATTCCGCGCAGAGGCATCTTCGAAAACCCGAAAACAGGCCTTATATTAATAAGGTTTACTTCAACATAAACGTGCGCAGCTATAAATTGTATATTGTCCATTGTCTAAAGGGTCATTTGTCAGTTTTCCCGTCGTTATCGACAATCCCTTTCAACAATACTCTCTCCCAAACCAATAAGTCTATGTTTACCGACCTTTACATAATGATATTTAGATTGTCCAATGCATATTTTCTTGTCAAACGCGTAAACAGAAAAGTAGCTAGATTGATTTTGAATCTGAAATGTTTCTGGGCCGAAAGCTTGGGTATCTTGTAAATGGTATTCCATATCAAGCCAGCCTATGCAAATACTACACTTAGAGACACTTATAACCCGACACTAACATTTTTCGGTATAAATTGGTCATTTGTGAACGGATGTTGTTCAACTTTGGTCCATACACAATTCAACATATCATACTTAATACATAGATTTTTTTTACGATTCATTTACAAGAAAATAGAGACAATAACAAATCAAATATGCTACTGAAAAATAAAAAAATCACAGAATGGCTGATTACTTTCGTAACAGAATGAACAGTTATCTGTATGTTAACCAGTTCTAAAACTTTATGTGTCCTTCCACGGATTAAACAACGTGTAAACACCTTTCACATGGCTATGACGTAGTTTTTCATTAAAGGTTGAGGAATATTTCTTCACTTCCTCGAGTTCAAGCAAGTCCTTCATCCCAAGTCACCAGATCTAAACTTCACACGTCTAGGCTGAATTGAACTGGCGTGACAGAAAGCGACCAGAAACCCTTTGCAATTTGCTGGAAGTCGAGCAAGCCCTTGTTTAAGAATAGAGAACTGTCGGGCAGAGGTGTTTACGTTGTTATAGCCAATTGGGAGTACAAACAAAGTGTTAGAAATGGTAAACATACATATTTAGTAGGCCGTTTTTTTTTGTTATGATTTTATTGTCATTCTGTATTTTTTTTATTTTACAGTAGCCTATTTTTGTTTTGTAATTTTTTCCTATTTTTTTATTGATGAATTTTAAATATGATTCTTTTGTATGGTCAAAATTTGAATAAAATCTGTTCACAAATAAGCTATTTATAGAGAAACATGTAAGTGTCGGGTTGTGTATGTAAATTTGTAACACAGCGGTGACCTCAGACCACTTTCAATACTTTTGGCTTTGTAAAGTTTTACTATGTAAAACCCTGTAGCAAATGCCTAGGATTTGAATTAACCCAACCACAAGGACTCTTCATTAGCATTGTTATTACATATCTAAATTTTGGGCTTTAGAAAAGCTCCAGAAAATATGTAAATAGGTCTTAATTAAATAAATGGTATTCATTCTGTTGACGCTTTAAGTATATTAAAGATAGTATATTGTTAAAAAGTTTATTGATATGATAAATTTATCATATTGCCCATTAAAATATAAAAATGCAGAGCAATGATGATGAAGATCAAATAATTGATTTTCAATTGCTCAACTTTTCTTTTTTTCTTTTTGTTTTAATAAAGAATATTGGGAACCAGATACACAAGGTGCAACAGTT